GTTGTTCGTGTTCAAGAGAGTAGGAGGAGAGTTGGTGTTTTATAGAGAGAATGCCGTACTTAAAGGGGCTGCCTTGAATGAACAAAGGTCAAAGAAGACTGTGCAGGCGGGTGCTGACCCTGGTCCGTTTATAACCAACTTCCTACTTCTTTCCTTTCATATTGAGGGTTCCATATCGCTGCGTCTTTCAACAGCTCCGCTCCCCTTGTTCACGCTTGATGTCAGACATCGAGGCCCTCGTCCAACAAGCACCCGGTGTTGAGCCCTGCCCTCCCACAAATCCCACAATCTCTCTGTCTGAGGGGGGAAAAAGATTTTCTCCCAAGCCAATCGACGAAAACTTGTTCTCGTCAACATCACCAGCATCGCCAACATGAGCGAGAACTCGCCTTCGTTGGGCAGCGCCTTCGCGGCCATGAGCTTCCGCGATGACAGTGCCAGGTACGTGATCTCTGGTTTCTCATGTCCATTTCCGTCGTCGATTCAGTGGTGGCTTTCCTGGGCGCCGGGATTGCGTTTGAGAGTCCTCAAAAATCCCAGCCGGGAAGGAGTGCTGACGAAGTCACAGCATCACTGCCAGCGAGAAGAAGCAGCAGTTCCCCAAGATTCCCTACGAGGTCGCTCTTCTCATCTGTGAGAGCCTTGTCGATATCGCTTATGCCAAAGCCTGCCAGGAGCCCATGACTTGGCAAATCACGGCTCCGAAGGCAGACGCCTCGTCTGCTCCGCTCTACGTTGTCACCGACAAGCACCGCCAACGTCCCGAGCCAGACATGAAGAGACGCTTCCAGATCTTCAAGGACATTCGCCAGGTCAACCGCAAGACTCGCATAATGGTCGATAAGGCCTTCCCCCGTGCTATCATGTACCACCAGCGCGACTGGGGCGACACCAACGACCATGACGTCAAGGAGGAGATGTGGCCTCCCATCTGGATCTGCCCCGATGCCGACATCTGGAAATTCAGACTGACGCACCCGCGCCTGGCCGCCGATCAGTTCAACCGCGCCCTCGGAGCCTTCTGGTCCCCCGACCTCACGCCCGAGTCGAAGGAGATCGTGAAGCACATCCAGACGTTGAAGGTCCGAAACCTCAATTTCCTGATCAACAGATTCGAGGCCCAGTGGGAGCTGGCGGCCCTGCCGAACCTCAAGAAGATCCATATGATCACCAGCTGCTTTTGGCCCCCCACCATGGCGAACGCCGACCTGGAGTATCTCTGGCCCATCGACCAAGGCGCGGTCTCGTTCCCCCACTTCCCCCACTTCTCTTCAGCCCAACTCAACCACGTGTTCGGTAAGCTGTGGGAGAAAGGAGTCAAGATTACCATGGTTGACAGATTCCCGACTGTTTCCAGTGTCGTCCTGGAGATGATTGAGACTCGTTATGGTGTCCATGTACGTCGCCTTCCTTGATCACAGTGATCGACGTCGTCGCCCTCGACGCCCGCGACGTTTTGGTCTCTTTTCGCCAAGCTAACTTTGTTCGAGCGAGCTCCATGAGGAGAGATTGGGATGATATGGAGGAATGCGCGTGGAGTTGCAGGACTGGTGGATAGGTCGCGGGTAGGCGGAATGAGGCTACAAGACGTGTGACAAGGGCGATGCAAGGGCAAGAAGGAATGCTATCAGATCAACAGAATGAAACACAGGAAGATGAAGATGTCTTGATATTGCGCTAAGCTGCTCCTCTCCTCGCTGAAGTGCTGAATTATGCGGAAGACAAGACGTAGACTGGCAGAAGGGGCAAGTCATGACCTTAAGGGACAAGTTCAACGTAAGCTGGTCGGTATCCTGAAACAAATCTTCAAGAGGTACCTCTGAAAGATCCATTTTGAAGGGTGTTTCACGAGTATGGACGACGGTAATTTGAAACTTCAACTTGAATTCACCTTCGAGGAATGCGTCGACCAAGCCCGAGCACGAGGCATAAAATCACTAAACTTCCTGAATAGATTCGCGACTAGATTATGAACGTCTTGCACATGCTAATCAGTCATATTCCTCCCTCTCTCTGAGGCAGAGGATGGGGAAGTTGCTCGACATCTCCCTGGGCAACGAAATGTACCACAGAGACCCGAAGCCCATCTCCTCCATCATCCACTTCCTCTCCGTCTCAACCGTATCTAGGTAACAGCGACACTCCCGGTCGATAAATCGGATCATCAGACCCTCGGGCGTTTGCACAAGCTCATTGCGAGGTGTCATGTCCTCTCTATCCGAATCTTCAAATGCGGTCAGCTCAAATATCTCACCGCGCTTGAGTAGCTTCCCCACAAGTGTTCCAGTCCGAATGGATCCTGCTCTGCAGCTATCGCTGCGTATGGATACATCGATTCGTCAATGTGAATCAGTTCCCCGTGACGGTGGCGGTCCTCTGAGTTCTCTGGTAGTGGTGGGAAGCGCCTGGCGTCCCCGCTCCCGTGAGAGGCTTGGATGATCTCAAGCGCAGGAAGAGATCCGATGCAGCGGATCTCCTCTGGACAATAATTGTCCAGTATACTGTGAATGCCATTAATTCTAATGATCCTCACGTGCTGGAGGAGAGCGGCAGCAGCAGGCTTCGGGTTGAGATAGACCTCTCGCACTGCTAACGTTTCATTAAACTTGGCCAGTCTGCCGTGCTCATCATTGATGTAGTCTTCTGGCTGGACTGGGTCCAGATAGTCAGTATCCAAAGTCGGCGGGTAGAAAACGTTGATGTTGGGACACACCCAGGCGTACCCAGGGTCGGTGCGGCCCTTTCTCCGAATGCCGCACAAGGGAAACCTCGGGAAGCTATTTTCAACGATCCGGCGGGAGTCACGGTTGATTCGAGTGGCGCTTCTGAAGAGAGCATAACGGTCTCTGTGTCTGTTTAAGTGCCTTCTGAAATATCCGTTCGAACAAAGAAGGATATAACACATGGATGGCGCCCATATGTGGCAGTCGAGGAACCAATATGCCGCGGTGGTCTCAGCCAAGGCATTGTCAACCATGGCTTCGATTATGAGGAGGAATATTTCGTAAGGGGGGATAGGTCTTGGTTTGAAATCGTTCTGTGGAGCTCTTGATGTCTCCATTTGGCAGTCGTTTTCTGGTGGCTGCGACATATCGAGGATGAGATTTCCGGATGGTCTTGTCTGCGAGACAGACTGGCTTTGAATGAAATGGGCGCTTTAAGCTACGCAGTGTTTGAGTTCGAGTGGTGCCAGGCCAGATACTCCGTTCGAAAAAGCGCAAAATGGGAAGTCGTTTTATATCCTAGCCTGACAGTGATGAAACCATGGAGTTGTCGGTGGAACTATGAAATCCATATGGTGAATGTCGGCAGAACGGACCCAGCAGAAAGGGATAACGCAAGGGAAGCTTGATTTACTCCAACTCGACCTCCATAGCCGAGCTGTCTGACGCGGTACCGTTCTGTTCTACATTCTGACCATTAATCTTTCCAATAATCTTCAGCTTTGGGTACGAGAGGGGCCACTCCTTTTCTTCCTCTCGTCGTCTTGCGATTCGAGTGGATTGCTTGACGCGGCCTTGGGGCCACAAGAGCTGTGGAAAGGTGCTTTGCGATGCCAGAATCTGCGATGTCGGCAAAAGATGCAGAGAAACACAGCATTCTCTCCAGCCTGAACCAATCCAGGTCGGGGCCGACGCAGGCCGCGACGTGCGCGAATAATGCAACTTCATTGAAATGCCTACTGGCGCCAGGGTCATGCATAAACAAGTAGAAGCATCTATTGACTTGTGCCCTGCCTCGATGGTCGATTTGGAGAATGTTGCGAAGCAACTCAGAACACCTTTGACATCTTGGATTGGAGCCGGCAAAGAGCAGGCTCGTCGATATTTGTGGCACCACCCAGAAGTGGCCCTTGACGACACTATCCGAGAGGCAATCATAAGGTGACGATGCATATCTTCTCGCCGCATGTGCGACCTAGACGGTGGAATAACCAGAGGTAGCCTGCAGAGTCTTCAGCGCACACAGCGGAACAGCAACACCAAGGTGCATAGAGAGTTAATCGCAGAAGGTGAGTTGTCCCCTCTATTAATTTCTGACAACCCATGAACATTCAAGATTCTGTCACATTCATCGTCTTCTCTGGCTTCGTTGTCGGTCACTTGCGCTGTTGTCGGCCTATGGCATGGTCGCCGGTCTCAGGCATGGTCGTTGGTCTCTAGCGTGGTCGCCTTTCTCCAAGACACCTTCTCCATCCTGCCCTTCTTCTCTCCTTCCCCCTCAAGTGCCTCCTGCCTCGACTCTCCAAGAATCTCAACCTCAAATGGGATATAAATAGAGCTGCGGCACATCACCTTCGCACACAAACTTCTCTCCTCCAACTACACAATCTTGCTTCACATCCTACTTCAAACGAGCACTGAGCGAGGGCGCAAAGGTTGGGCCCCACGAACACTCAAATTCCTATCGTTTCTACGATACAACTTTTGCTACAAGACCCATCTCTGAATCGCGCCTCCTACACTGCAACGGACGAAAGGACCTCTCTTCGTCCCATCCAAAGTCTTCTTTGTGAACTTCAGCCCTCCACACCACAAGCTGACCTCACATTCATCGCGCCTGCCGCTCCAGATAATCACACTAGCGAACGATCTCTTTCAGTCACCGCGCCAAATCTTCACCGCTGTTATCTTCACTCACATTCTTTTCATTAAAACACATCTCAGTCATCATACACCAACCCACCTCTCATCAGATCGACCTTCACAATGGCCACAGCCACAGGAACCCCTCCCTCGTCCATCTCCACGATCTTCAGAAAACTCCCTTATGAACTAATTCTCATGATCGTTGACGAGCTGATTTCGTCTACCACATCAAGCCTGCAGCCTCAACACTTCGAGTTCTACAGCCACGCACAGACGCTTCAAGTTGTACGTCGCGTCTTTTGTTCCAGAGGGCGGGGAGACTCTGTGGCTTTGGCAAAGGAGCGATATCTTCAGGTTCGCACTGTCCTCCAAATCAACAAAAGAATACGAAGGGCTGCTCGCAAAGCCTACCTACCTCTCGCAGAGAACAACCAGAAGGAATGGGTTTGCCTTGAGAAGGACATTTTTATCCTCGACAAACACATGCTGCAGCCAGCTGAAACCTTTCAGCACCTGACGCCTCACAATCTTCATGTCCTTCAGAACTTGCGGAACATCATTTTCGCACCCTACGACGCGCACTTCTTGAGAGCTGGAGTTGGCTCCCGTGGCCTCAGACTGATGGGGAGTGTGACCTCCATAGGCCTCATCAATGCCGCTTTCGAAGGGCTTGCTGACGCCAGAGAGCGTCGTCTCGAGGATGGCAACCCTCTCGGCCTGGTCCCACTGTCGGAGGTCATACAAGATGCGCACCCGTCAGTTAGTGGAATTCCTTCTTTGAGGGAGTTGGACACTTCTCTTTCACACGTCCTGGGAAGATTGAAGAGCAAGAACGTCAGCATCTTCATACAACTGCGGTGCCACGACATATTCGAACAACGCAACAAAGAGAACAGTTTTGATATAATCAGCTGCCCTGATGAGATCAAAGTATGGTTATCATAGGCTATGGACGGGGTCTGGAATTTCAAGCGGTGGATAGGGCGTTTTCACAGACTACAGACCGGGAGGTTCAGGAACAGCGAGCGGTGGTTAGGGGGGAGTTTCATTGCATATTCTAGCTTTTCATTTTCGATCGCACACTTGGGACATTAGAGCATAATAGATATCAGGGGCACATATCACCGTTATAGTACTGGACTTTTTTTTGTCGAGCTACTGCACAATGTTGTTCGTCGTGTTTGACGTCCTCCTTGCTATATAGAACTCCTCGTTTGGCCAAAAGCTCTTCCTTCTTCCAAATCCATTACTCAGCCAAGCGCGACGATAAGCCACCAGAAGACTTGACACCGTCGAAATCTGCCTCCCATCCTTCTCTCTTCAACCCTGGGTCTGAACCATAAACTTGCCCGGGCACCACTCGCTAGGGAGCAGCTTCATGGCGACGCCATCCTTGGTACCGACAATCTCGATGAGTAATTTCTCAACTTCACCGCGGAAGCCGTAGACGCGGACGCCCTTCTTCTTCAAGGGCCGGAAGACAGCGTTGAACCCAGCCCCATGGGTGACGTTCCAGATCGCCAGGGCGGGGAACATCTCGTAGTCGATGGGCATAAGACCCTCCTTCAAGTCGCGTCCTCGGCAGGGACGCTGGAAGCTTCTGACGTCCATGATGACGTCCTTCAGATTCGGCAGGGTCGAGAGAGCCGCGACGCTAGAGGCGTTGTCATCGGACCAGAAGCACGACGAGGGCGTGGCAACGCGCTGGATGGACTGGATCAGGGCGGCGGCCTGCGGGGTCGGAAGCATCATGGCCTGCCTGAAGTACTCCTCCTCCTCGATGGGGAAGGAGTCCGGGTCGGCGGCAAAGCAGGGGATGAAGACATCGTTCTTGGGGCGGATCCAGACGTCGACGGGCATCTGGCGATTGTGGGAAGGGGCGCGGATGAACTTGCGATGGACCATGGCGCGTGTGGCCTGGTTGATCTGCGAGGGCAGGCGGATGCGGTCGAAGCGATCCTGCAAGTTGGGGCATTGGCGGAGGTGGGGCAGCTCATCCCAGACAGCAAGCTTGGTAGGAGAGGCGAAATCGTAGTAGAGGGTCCACACCTTGACGAGTATGCAGGCCTCGGCCTCGGTGATGAGGATGTCGACGATGTTGAGAAAGACATCGTAGGGTAGGGAAGCTGGACCGGCTTTGCCGCGGGCTGTCTTCTGGAGAGACATGGCTGTGGCAATTTCGCTCTTGCTGAATTGAGGTGGAAGAGCAAACGTCTGATTTTTTTGTTTTTGTTTTTTAGCAAAATGAGAGAAAACGTGGAGAGGTGACTGACAAACGGAGGCCAAATGGAGGGTGGGAGCCTTGAGATGCTACCTCGACTTCTCGAGTGCTGTGGATGCTCGGCGCAGGTGAATGTGAGAGGTGAAGCGCAGCAGCGACGGCACCGAAACTTCTTTGAAAGAAGCTCCCTGCTGTGACTGTCTCAATTTAGAAGTGCCTAGGCAGGTGAGTGGAATTTACTAGATTTGAGATTTAAAAAGCAATCGCTTTCTTTTTTTCTTGTTTGTGGGAGTCTAGTTTGTTTACTTCGCTGGCGATGCACCTTCCCGGTAACGGCTCCATCGATGCCATGGACTTGGATGGAATCATGGTGAAAAATCGGTCTGCAGGCATCCTAGACCCATTACTCATTGCGGATGATATTGAAAAAAAAAGCAAGCCATTTTTCCGCAACTGTTTTGAAGAGTTCATTCTTTCTTCCTCCCAACCTCATCGAGGGTCAAACACCATCCCCAAACATCGCAACCATGACACCCGAGATGTCGAGCAAACGCGGCGTTCCATACGAGATCTTCCTCGCCATCATCGATATGCTCATCTCTGAAGCCGCAGCGCGTGCAACTCCTTACAAATTCTCGCTCACATACATGTACGAGTCCTCAACCAAAATCGCAATCAACCCATTTCCGCCTCCTCTATCTCCTAATGCCTCTATTGGCCCGGAGGAAATCACGAGAGAACGCTTTTACGACATTCGTCTGGCTTCCCAGATTAATCGCAAGACACGAGGCCTAGTTCACAAGACTTTCCGCCGAATTCCGATGGACCCTTGCCCCTTCATTAACGCCTGGATTCTTCCTGAAATCGACGACTTCATCCCGCTCAACTTGAGAGACATTGAATACGATTACCTTGACCAAGGGTACGACCAAGCAATCTTCCTGCCTACTCCATCGGGACACATCGCGATTGAAGCCATCCAACGCATCAATCTTCCTGCCTGGGAATATTTCAAACCTTCAAACGCCATCCGTGTGGCCACACTTCTTGCCCTTCCCAACCTGAAGCAGATCTCGGTTGAAATTGGCGGTATCGATCCTCAACAAGGCTTCGGCAATGTCCACCATGGAATCAGACCACTTGACGAGAAGAGGTTTTACTCACTCGCCAAGTGGATGCGCGACGTTCCCCAACTTCGAGGTTTGTGGGCCCCTTTCAAAAAGAAGGGTGTGAAGCTGTACGCGGAAACAAGTTTCACCGGCATCATGCTCATGGAGCTATATCCCGCCAAGAAGAAGATGAATGCTCGATACCTGCGACCGAACTGCGACTGCAATGAGTGCAGGGCCATCCAGCAAACGGCGCCTTGAAGATCGGGAAGACCGATGGGGTTGCGGCCAAGTCGTGTCACTAAACTTGAAGATGAGAAGACTTAGGATTCCAGGCTCAACGAGGGCATCCCCAGGGGAAGGATAGGGCAATGAGGTGGTGGTTTTGGTTTTGGTATGGACATGGATCGGATGGACCCCCATATGTACAGGCGTGGATTTTCTGACTTTCAGAATGTCCATCTGGGTGAATATGGATCTCAACATCAGCTTCTCGCGTTGAAGGCGCGAGGGATCCAGACGCTCTTCCTCCAAATCGCACAAAACCCATCTCGTAAACCTCTTCTTTGTCAGACCGGCACCCTGTGTTTATCTAATCGATAAGCGTTAAGCATTTCCATTAGAAGTGAATAGGCATCTTCGGATCATTCCTTCTAGCAGCCCACCTTACTTGCCTGCGCCTCCTACCTTCTCTCCACCTTCAGACTGCATATCCGGTTTGTCTACCATATTCTGGTTATCGGTAGGCGTTGTTTATCAGCCTGCTGCCTTCGTCTGTTGTCCTCGTCTCTGTCCCTGCTCCTGGCTCTGGTGCCGTCGCTGTCGCTTGCTGTCGTCGCACTCGTCCTCGTCTCTCATCCTCGTCTGCCACTCTCGTTCGCCGTCTCCGTCTCCCCTCTTTCTGAAAGCCTGCCTGACCTGTTTAGGGAATTTCAGATGCCTTCATCTGTCATTGAAAATTTCTCGCTTCTTTGCGCCGACAGATCTAAACAAGGCTTTCTGCTCACATCATCGCCGCCATCGCCATCAGAATTGTCGTCGTCGTCGTTCGTCGTCGTCGTTACCTACCGCTTTTACTGCCCTTCGCTGCAGCCCTGCGAAATCTCACCCATCATGGTTCCCCAGTCAAAGTCGTCGTCCCCCGTCCTTCCGTATGAGGTGTTCCTCAGTATAGTTGAGTTCCTCATCGCCGGTATCGAGGCAGAACAGTACGGCGAGATTGCATGGACCTATTATCGACATGATTTGCCCTGCAAGCTTGTTGTGGGCGGTCTCCAGTGCTCCACCTAGGGGGCCCCTTTGCGGAGGCGATGAAACAAAGACACCGAGATCTTCGACTGCCCTCGCAGATCAACCAAAAGAGCCGCAAGATGGTTTACCAGACCTTTCGACCGGTACCTACGTGTCGCCGTCTTGTCTCGAGCGGTGCCCTCGGCCAGATCCTGCCCGTCAGCGCTCTCATCTTGCCAGAAGTCGACGCCTTCGTCCCACACCATGCTGTAGTCCGGCCCGATTCTTACTTCAGAGGGGGCTGCTTCTATCCGGCGTACCACCCACCCATCCCGAAGTCACACGCCACCCTCGACCTGATCCAAAGCATATACATTTCATCGATCTGCAGCCTCCGCGCTGAAAAGTACGAGGCAAACGAGGCTCTGCTCGCCCTTCCCAATCTCAGACACATCATGGCCCTCATCGGCCCCGTCAGAAAAGACCTAGAAGAGATCGAAACTCTCCACGGTGGACGTCGCTCTCTCGCCCTGGATTACCAGTTGTTCTCCGACTTGCAGTACTGGGACACGATGCCCAAGGGTCGGAACTTTTGCTCCATCTGGCGTAGATTTCAGGAGAAGGGCATCAAGCTTTACGGACTGATCGGATTATCCAAACATTCTCCCAAAAAGTGTATCATGGAGATCTTCCCCTCGGAGGATGGTACTATGGTCCAATATGTCAGCCCCAACTGTTCTTGCTGCCCGAGAAAGCCCACATCGGAGAGAAGAAAGCTGGCGTCCAAGATGAGGTGGGCGCAGCTGGGCTGCTAGAGTCTCAGACACACACAAGGCCAGAGAGAACCGGGGCTAGAGAAGCCGTACGGACGGAGGGAGCAGACCTAGAGACAGGCCCAGAGAGAAATGAGGTAGATCAATGTTACAGAGAATCAGAGAAGGTCGGAGAATCAGCTCGAGGCCACTTTCTGGTCTCAGAGATAGAAGAAAGCGCAAACAGGGCCGGAGAGGACCAAAACCGGAGAGCAGGTCCAATGACAGAGGAATAAAAAGGATATTGAAGTTTCGATACTGGACAAGGAAGGAGAATAGAAACAGAGAACAAATTCACATAAAGGAGCCTAGTCACGCTCATGGAATGTCAACGCGAACTATTGCCGCTGTCCGAGACGGCCCACACTCGAGGGAAGCAGCATGGTGGTCGAGTCCAGGGCGAAGCCGAGGAATTAGAGTTGCAAACAAAGTCAGAGCCAGAGAAACTCGGAGAATAAAGCAGAGCAGAACTTGGTTACGAAACTTGGGGCTAGACCGAGACAACGCATAGATATAAATGACAAAACATCAGGTTTGCAGTAAGGGGCAGAGACACAGACACATTGCAGTGACATAGAACAAAGTTAAGGAACGCAACCAAGTCACATTCAACTCAGTAACTTTCCCGAGGGTTGCATTCTCACCTACCAATAGTTTCAGACATGAACCACGGTCTTGGCATCGCGTGGTAGTGTAGTCGATGCCCACGCTCCCGTCCGGATCGGATCAGTCAATACTATGGAAAGCTCCGCCTCCCGCTGCACCGAGCATCACACACGATAAATTCGGCCAAGCCGAGCATGACACTGATCGCTTGGCACTGGGAGGTTCTCTTGCGTTGCCGAGAGTGCCGGAGTCAGGCGACGAGGGCGATCTCAATAGCTCTGGTGCTCTTCATGACTCGGGCAGGGGTTAAAAATCATAGCATCGAGTTTGACCACGCAGTCTCATGCTCAAACTCTAAATTCCTCAACGACGGGCCTCGCGGCATGCTATGCAATAGAATCATCGCAACAGATTGATTGATTCCACCGGGGAGGTCCACATCAATCTATCCATGCGGGAAGTGGAGGTGCTATATAAGCCATATGGCAAGAAGCGACTCAATACAAAAGTCGGCGACATTTCTTCCCACGAGGACACCGCACCCTAGCCCACGCCCTTCTACATACCCCCCGAACAACTCTCTTTTATTGATTCTGCCGCAAAACTCTCTTCAAACGTCCAAAAAAGAACAAACGCAAACACAAATACGATTCAACAACAATATGCGCTCCTTCGTTTTCGTCACGATCGCCGCCCTTGCCATCGGCCAGGCCGCAGCTCAGATGCCGGCTCGCGTCCAGCCTCTCGCGCCCCGCCAGAGTGTCGAGACTGAGTGCAACACCGTGCCCGAGTGCGGCCAAGGCAACCTCGGCGCGACTTGCCAGGTGACCTGCATCGACAACGTAAGTTGAACACCGGCCTCCATTTTTCTGGGTGAAAGAGGATCTCGTCGCTGACATGTCTGGCCGGGGATATAGCCTGGAGGCGAGCGCAAGCGCACCGGCACCTGCAAGGATGGCACTTTTGGCATCAGCTGCTACTAGGAGACGTCAGGTCAAATTTGGCCTAGGTGTTGGACATCAGAGGTCCCTACTTTCGAATTGAGCATCAACATATTGGGAGGATCGGCATGAATGTTATACATATATATCCAGTGAGCGAACATTGTAGCAGTTGAGAATTGATTTCTTTCGGTTGCACAGGCGTGTTCTGCGAGTGTCGGGACCTGTCATTCTGGGAGGGCACTGACAAGAAGCTTCGTCCGTCCTATCTATCCTTTTGCCGCAGGAGGTTCATCGCATGTCCGTCCAACTTTACTCACGTGAGTCATTGACTCATTGTCAACTGCATGTCTCAACCCTGAATCGTGCTACCGAAGATGATCTCAATTTCCTATGACAGCGTTCATCCTCTAATCAGGTAGATGCCAAGAATGGCACAACCAGTCCGAGTCTTTTCCCCCAGATGCGAGCATCACATGATCTGTTCTTCCCGGTGAAAGCCCATTGTCCTCAGTTATCCCCTCCTGTGGTTCAAAGCGCGAACGACTGAATCATCTCCAACGCCTCCTCCGCAATGGACTCATCCTGAGCCGGGCGAGGCTTGCTCGGGGGGGTAGAGAATAGCCGTAACGTCGCCTTCCTTAGGAATCAACTCCATCACCTTCTCGAAATCCGCATTCCCGGCTCCGTAGAGCTTGATGCCTCTCTTCTCGTAGGGGCACCACGTCTTGTGCAGGGAGTAGGCCGTGCCGGTAGTCCACAGGTCCTGGAGGTCGGGGAACGTGTCCTGGTTGACCATGACTAGGCCGCTGTCGAGGTAAGCGTCCTCGAGGTGCTTCTTGTTGTACCGGCCGATGCTGACGAAGACGTCTCGAAGGTTAGGCAGCTTGGCAAAGTGCGCCATGATGTTGTGGTAGCTCTTGTTCAAGCAGGCCAGGCTGGGAAGGTAGAGGTGCTGCACGTGCTGGAGCATGGCGTAGCCCGCAGGCGTGGGCTTGGAGATGGCTTGGACGAAGCCGGCGATATTCTCAGGCTCCACCAGCCGGGTGATCAAGGGCATCACCATGACCTTGTCGAGGTGGGGGATGACCCAGGCCTCCACGGGGGCGAGCGTGTCATTGTGAGGCAAGGCGAGCGGGACGCGAACGAACTTTTTGTGCACGAGGGCGCGCGTCTTGGTGTTGACCTGGGAGGCGAGCATGATGGAGCGGAAGCGGGTCTTCAATGGATAATGCGGCTGGTTTCTGGCCTCGTCTTCGTCTTGAGAGAGGATGAAGGCGAGCTTGGAGGGGACGCGATGCTGGTAGTACATCCAAAAGGAGAGGGACTCCTGGCAGGCTTCGGCCTTGACGATGAGGGTGTCCACGACGAGAAGGAAGACTTCGTAGGGGACGGGGCCCCGACCGTTTTCGACGGGCTTGCTGAGGACAGGCATTCTGGCGGGTGTCGATGGCGTTGGCCCTAGTCGGAGGTAGGTTGGAGAAGTATTGTCTAGAGCGACTGTGTTAGAAGAAACACGCGACAATGGGGTTTGAACGAAAGATCTTAACAAGAGACCGGATTGATGAGATGTGATCATAAACTCACCTGTCAGACCGAACAAGCTTCCTCGGGGAGCTATGGAGCTGGCGTTACTGAAGCGAGGAAGACGCCTAGCCGGTTTTATGGCTGTGCGTGTTGAGAAATGTTTGCGCTTGCTAACTTGAGAGATGAAGAAATTTTCTCGCTGGTGAAAAAGAGCAGCTTGTGCAAGTTCAAAGGGAAGGAACCAGAGGCCCAGTCTCATGCGCCTTCCCATTGAAATCAGTTTTCACCTTCATCTCTGAACAAACGGATGTGCCGAGGGCCGCACACGTCAAGCAAACATACCTCCATTTGACACCTCACATCATGGCGTAAAAGAAATAATATGCGCGCACCACATCCTTATTCAAAGGCCTTAATAAAACAAAGAGCCCACATGCCATATGTGATATGGACTTCATAGTATAAGTTGTTGTGCTGCCTGGGATGCAAAATGCGTCTTGATTATTACACTTGCCCATATGTTCATGCCCCAGCCCCAGGTGCCCTCGATAAACCAACCTCCATGCTGGAGTCCGTACGTCTCCATGTTTCTTCCGGTCTCCCAATCATATGTCGCAGGTGCAAATAGGATTGATTAGTCTGCTTCGCAATCCATCCGCAGTAGGCACCAATTCCAGCTTCCTCCTCTCCGCGCTCCCTCCTATGCCGACAAACACTTTGATGCCCCTCTCTTCCGCTCGCCAACAGAAGTATTCTAGTGCCTGGCGATGCCAGCCCGTCCACCTCCCTATTGTAGGGAAGAAGTACCCGCTCAGCGGTATGAGCTCAGCACTGGGATGGGGATGGTCGATTTCGGGATACCGATAGCTTGCACTTGTGATGACAACCTCGGAGTTCAACGTTATCTCTTTGATGTTGGGGAGTGCCAGTATTGAATCGACGTCGGCTTCGTATTCTTCCATCAGAAAGTCTCGTGGAAAGCCTTGAATATTGACGAGGGATTGAACTAAGACCCGGTCCTGAGCTAATGGGTACTGGAGAGCCTGTCTGAATTGAATGCAATCGCTCGGCATGCTGCAAAATATAGGATTGAAAAGATCGGTTTTTGGATGTACCCATAACGGAGATGCTTTTTTGCTGTATGAATCCCAGACTGTCATGCGCGGAAACTTGCGCTGGGCGATGCCACGAGTCTTGCTGTTCACCTGCAACGCAAGACGTAGTTGTTCAAATCTTCTCTTCCTATTCCGTAGCGTCCATCTCGGATTTGAGAACAAATCGGTGACTTGTACGTCAAGCCGTGACTCGGGTTCAGAACGCGACGATAGGTAGAAACACAAATCCATTGGCTCCGCGGTGACTTCGGCTTCGAGGATGAGAATGTCGACGACGTTGAGGAAGACCTCGAATGGAAGCGAAGGCGCGACTGGACAGGCCGCCATCGCAGGCGATAGGATGTGCTCGTCGCGAAGCTGATTGTGTCCACCTTATCTGTGTAGGGATTGAAGAAACCAAGTGTTTTGCGCCGCGGGGAAAAGAGAGGCGATCGCGAAAAAGTTCTGCGTTTGAGTCAGTCAACTGTGCAAGAATAGTCTGGAGGCTTCCGTGCGTGCTTACGACGGTGTCGGGGTTCGGTGAGGCGCGATAATATGATGGCCAGGGATTTGCGCGTCGTTGATGCATCAAGTCAAATCGACCTCGGCGACAGACAGAAATATCCCGACAAGGCAGAATAATGTCGGGAGGCTGGGCTGATCAGACGCCATTGTCGGCGGATAAAAGTAGACAAAGACGGTGCCGACGCGACTACCTACCCCAAAGACAGGCTTTCTTACATGTGGACAAACACTAAAGAAAAACAGGATAGGGGTGATGGGGGCGCGACAGATCCAAGTAAGGACTTACGCGCTACACGGACGAATGGGAATCGCTGACGTCGGTCACGATGGCATCCATGGATATGTCTGACATCGGTCACGATGAATCATACCACCCCGAGGATAAACTTGAGTTACCCGAGTCGTCCAACCCACACGGCGATCCCTTATAGCATCGACATTCGGGATGAACAAACTTCATTCTTGTGCCGGCAGGAGTTTGAATCAACTCGATCGTCTTCCAGAACCAAAAGAATCGCGGGTCGATGCAAAAGATTTTGATGCCCCTTGCACGAGCTTTCTCCGCCCATATTGCGTAATTTTCGTTCGGTTCGTCGTCGTTGAAGTATAGTGCCAGCTCTGGGAAGAGATCTGCGTCAATTGGAAGCAAGTCGGCATGGGAGTGCAGCTCTTTCGGGACCGGTACTGGCTCGAACTCATCACCGGTGTATCCGATATTGAGATTGATCTCGCGCAGATTTGGCAGGGCGTAAACTGTCTCGAGTTCTGGGACCCAGCCCTCGCCGAAAAAGTAGGGCGGAAAATCGTGGACTACCTCGATGCTCTTGACGAGCTGGGCGTCGAGTGGCGTTGGGCTCTCGATCGCACGCTTGAGATTACCCTGTTCTTCGTCGGCGTCGGTATTGAGGTAAAAGAGATCTAACTTTGGACAGACCCAGCCCATGTGTCTCGATCGGGGCCTGGCAGTTCGCATGGGAAAGGGGACAAAATGCTCGTGGATAAGTCGTCTAGTATGGTGGTTGATCTGCAAGGGCGCGCGAATGCTGCGGAAGCGTCTCATCTGGGTGGAATCGTGCTGCCAGGCGAAGCGGGTGTGAATGAGAATATCAAGCTTGGAGTCGTATCTCGCGTCGGAGTACGTGAGAACCATTGCCATCTCGTCGGCTATCTCCACGGCTTGGGTGACGAGGGCTTGTAGGATGGCGAGGACAATTTCCGGCGGCAAAGACTCAGTCATTGATGACCGGCGGATGGTCGGCTGAGGCGCTGTCTTAGGCGACGCATCCCAGGCGATGCTTGAGTTGCTTGACTGATCGGAGTCGCAGTAGTCCATGATGTGTGGGCGCGGCACTGCAGGAGGATGAGGAACAGCGATCGAGGGCAAGGTGCGGGAAGGCAAGTGGTTTATCCTTTTGCATCGATATCTAGGACGTAAAAAAGGACTTTCTTATCATGACCAGAGAAATGATACGTGAAGTGAATGACGATCCTTCCAGTGGTGGACTGAGACATAGATTCAAAATCCGCATTCAGCGATGTGAAGCCTGACGACAAATGCAAACAAGTCAGCGCGGGGAACTTGAGAATACCTATACCGGTGATACTTCCGAGAACGTTTTGGGCCTCCATTCCATCAACGTCGCTCAGTTCGTTTCTGGTGGAGGTGTAATGTTCGTGGATGAAGTAGTCAAGGATGTTGCGATGTCAACCCAGCGGCGCAGGCACATGCTGTTCGGATAGCAATCCAGTCATCGAGGTAAAACCTGTTGGCTCGTAGAATAATGCGTTGCGACCGAAATCTTCGAGTCTGTCTGGTGACTGGAATTGCCGGTATCCATCGAAAGTTAGATCGCGAAGCTGGATCTCGCATCGATGTGTTCTTTGCTTTGCATGTCGTCCGTATCTCGCGCTGGGTCGAAGGCGGGCAGCCTCGGAATGGCCTTGATATCTCGTGTTCCACAAGATGCCGTATTGGACAGGCCAAGCCAGGTCCAACCCTTGCTTGTGCAACCGCAATGCTGCAGCCTCTTTGTTGCCTCTCAAGTTGCTCGAGAAAAATGATATGGTGGATGGAATGAGGCGGTGACGGGTAGCTGCATGGAAGGCAACCGCGGCAAGGAGCTCCTTTTGGGGGGCTCGCAGTGTCCTCGCGAGAAGGAGGAGTTGGGAAAGTCCTTCCTTCCTCTTCTGTTTTGCCATCCCATGCTGGGCGCTTCTCATTTTTTCACCACCAGCTACTACTGGAAAAGAGTGGTCTTGCTGTCGCTGCAATAAAGTTTCGTAGGTAAACTGCGCGGCCAATTTCCCAGCTCAGGGCTGACCGTCGATACGTTACAGATCGCCGCACTTTTGACTTCAAGCGAAATCACCAAGCCATGTGTTTTTGGTGGGCTTGCTTCGGAGACGACTGGGAAGAAGACGACTGGTGGCCTTGGAACCTCTTTTGGCATCAGACTTCTATGCAGTACGCGGCGCAACGCCAATTGGAGTGGAATAGTGACCATCACGGCCATCATGGAGACACCAACGACTCTGACGACGATCATGACGACCATGAACATGACCACGACGACGACGATAGCGACAGCGACGACAGCGACTAGCTGTACGGCGAATGCCCACATGTCTCCTTAAGCTACCTCCCAAAGGGCACCAGAATCACAGTGTTGCCGATGCAAAACGCGGGCAGCGAAACCAGGTAATAAAGACACCGTGACGTCTGGTTTCACCTTTCAATCCTCCAAAACGCTCTGCCCCAAAGGAAAAAGACGAGCACCTGCGCATTTTCAAAGCATTCCGCCTAATTTTGTTCTTCAATTACCTCTCAGGACAGGTGGCCTGGCGGATATTTTCTTGCCGACCACTCGACATGTGCCACTTTCGGAATTGCATCTGGTTCATTTTCAGGATTTTCAAGTTCCAGCCAGATGTCGCTTCACCCACAACGTTCTCGAGATGCCCGTTGAGTAAAATGTTGTTCGATACATGCTCGAAAACTCTCTGCGGTTTTCACCGGTGGAGTTTATGCGCACTATCACTGGCTTCGATTTCCGCGTCTTCCAACGGAGACATGCTACGATCATTTACATACTTTCACGCCTGTCTTTCTTGGAAGAAATTGATGTCGCAATCGGTGATGTCCATCGAGACATGACAGGCCAAATAGCCGAGCATTCGCACGGGGGCCTCCAGGCCTTCGACGAAAACATCTTTTCTGACTTGGCCTCTTAGAAGGAGGTCTATGGGTTGGAATTCAGCAAGTTTTTGAGACTACTTGACGAGACTATTGTTGATGGCGAGAAGGCAGTGAAAAAGAAGCCAGTCGACATCATATTGAAGGGGTCACATGGGATCCTCAACATGAAGACTGCGAAGCTGAATGCTACATATTCAGAAACTCGAATGTCCTTTCCTCACTAGGTAGAACAACGGGAAATTTGGACAGGATTTCATTTCGCCTTGATTCCTCAATTTCCTTCCAGATGGCTTCACGTCTGTCCCATTGTGCAGCTTCTTCGTCGGTGAAAGATCCCTTCCTGCGGCGGTGAGCGAACCACGCCCAGTCCATAACGCGCCTGTCTTGTGGTGAGGCATGCTCTGCATGAAGTTGGTTCCGGGTTTCCAATCATGTTCGCTCCCGATCTCGAATTTGTCTACCTCTGGAAATATCAGAAACGGGACATCCCTAAGAAACTCAGGGTATCCACTGTAGTACCACAAAATCTTATTGTAAGTGGCTGCATAGATTACGACGTGGGCTTGAAGTACTCTTCGATGAAGGAGTTTTCTAGTCTCCCGGCAGACGCTCAAGGGGATCCGCAAAGCTCGGTACCGTTTCTTCTGCGCCAGGGTATTGCGAGGTAGTTCCCTTCGCCGCGTGTAAAATCTGACGGAAAGGCGATCGCCACATGGTGACGGGTCCAAGAAGGAGAAGCCGCGCGAGCGGAGCTTCAGACGAATAGGCTTGTCGGATGAAAGGGAGGACAACACCTCGTCGATGAGAAGCCCGAAGATGTGAATGGTGATGTCCCAGGGGATGTAAGGCATTGCATCTGAGACGTAAATGATCAGCCCACCGATCCTTTGGGGTTGGTTGAAATATCGAAGAAAGCATCAGAGTGCTATGGACCTCTGCTGACCTTTTCGCTCCCAGATACACCTGTGATTCTTCTCTATGAGTTTCGACCTGCCACGATGATCCGAGCGAATGGCATAATGTGCTTTTTCTAGGTACCAAGGATCGCCATCATCACCGTGATTGAAGAATCTAAACGCCATATGATGGGGAGCCCACGTCTTGCATATAAACGTATTGGTCTTGTAAGACAGGCGCGGTCCATCGGGTGTGACCACCAACTCGGCCCAGTCCCCTGTTCGAGAGGCCGTGAGCCAGATGGGAATGTTCCTCTCCCTCAGCGGCCTTGTGTTTTCATAGAAGTCGGATCCTCTGGTGAGCGCCCAACCACTTTGAGTAGGGTGGCTCAAAACGGGCTCAAGGCCGTCGTGGGAGTGATTCTTGGGAAGTGGCGTGATATGAGCCGGCGGCGCCGCGCCCACTCGAACTATCCGAAGGCTCGGCAAAGCGGCCAGTATTTCGACGAAAGGGCGATACTTGTCAGTGAAGTGAGAAAAGCCAGTTACTTCGATGTGCTGGAGAAAGTTGACAAGCAACTTATCACCAGGCAGCGGGTTTCGCACGGCATCGAGTATGTGAATAAGGGACCTCTGAGTGTAAGCCAATCCCGAGTCCTGTTCGGGTATGTAGAAGCTGTCTATCTCGGGGCAGATCAACCAGGGCACTTCCGCATTGAAGAGAGGTTTGCGTACCACAAGCACGCATTCCCCAGTCTTGAGTTTGTACGGGAAGATTCCTCGGTGTGCTGCGTTTCGAGTTGCCCGGCTGGTACCGAGGGGAAGTCGAAGGAGTCTGTATCGCTTCTTCTGTGCCTTCGAGTCTTGTTGGGACATCTCGAGGATTTCCATGCAGTCCTCGTAGCCTCTGGCTTGGTTTCCGACCTCTAAGCGGCTTGCATCGGGGGCCTGGGTGTCGGTGCACTCGACGACTCGGATCTTCTTGGTGCGGTCGTCTTTGGTTGCGAGAAATGCGATTGTATCGTCTATGATGGACTCGATGATGCAGATGAAGATTTCATGGGGAATGGTTTCTGGGCCGGGTCTCCCAGAGAGGGCTGGCCGTAGAGAAGGTCTTGGGGGCGGCCAAGGAAGGCTGTTCTCGCGAGGTTTTCGGACTGGCAGAATGATCTCCATGTTGGGGGGAAAGAGAAGATTGACCGTTCTTCGCGTGAGAAAGAGAGGAATTAGAAAGATACAGGTCGACAGCTTGCTCGACGGAGGCAAAGGGTAGATATTATTGAGGGGTAATGGACATTGACGTTCGGGAAGTTTGGCTTGGCAGATGCAGCCCTTGTCCTACCTGGCCAGCAACAAACCAACCGTTGCAGTCTCAGAAGAATGGGGAAAGCACAAGCGAGCGATGAAATCAACTTCCGACGGCATTGAGCCAGACTGCCTCAGAAAGTATACCTAAACGCCGGATCATCCTGGATGGGAACCCGCTGCACGTCGGCCTTCCTGTTCTGTCGCCTAAAGTACCACCACATCAACGCCACCAACAAGATCAACAAGAACTGCGTCACGACCGCGCACCACACGCCAGTCCGGTACGTCGGGTACTCCTGCTGCATGAAGGTGCACGAGGCGTAGATGCCTCCGATGGCGGCGAAGAGCATCTGCACGCCGCTGGCTACCGAGCGCCGGCTATTGGAGCGGACGTTATTGGATTGGAAGGCGATGATGGTCGGGAGGTTGCCGTTGCAGCCGGACACGCCTAGGAAGACACCTGGAAAGAGTTAATGCGTGCGGCGGGTATTGGCATCCTCGACGGTCTTACCAAAGTATCTCACACCATTGTTTGAGTGATACGCCGTTAGGAGAAGTCCCGTCAGCGTGATGGCCGCATTGAGGACCATCCACGGCATCCTCAACCGCGTCTTATCCGCAACGTAGGCGACGAGGAGAGTCCAGATGATGCTGAAGAGATATGGCGGGGCGCAGAGGAGGAAGACCACGGCGGTGGAGTAGCCCAGTGTGGTGAGGATGATCTGGATGAAGTAGGCGAAGGCATAGATGGGCGCGGAACAGCAAAGGAACATGAAGCCGTACACCCACAGCTCCCAGCGTACGACGAGCTTCGTGAACTTTTGCCAGGTCAAGGGATCGGGCTCCGCGTCGCCTCGGTCGCGCTCCACGCGGTCGAGGATGGTTTCGATCTCCTGCTGGGTGAAGGCGGTTCGTTTTCCGGATGCGAGGAGCTGGTCTGGGAAGGGCAGGGTGAAGATGTATCCGATGAAGGAGAAGCCTACTGTCAGGGCGCCTTCGATGCTGAGAGAGGTTAGTTGGGTTGGGAAGCGGGTGGCATGTTGACTTGCATGAAGATCCAACGCCATCCTGCGATACCGTGAGCTCCGTCCAGCTTGATGATGGCGTAGGCGAGGATGTTGCCAAATGCGGAGATGAAGAGGTTGATCATATACCAGAGCGCCATTCTGGTCTCAGAGGTCAGTGGTGATGAAGGGATGTCTGGCATGAGGATCACTTGCCTCTGCTGAACTTCGTATCGCTGATACCAACTGCTCAAAAGATACATACAGCACGGCAGAAACCCGGCCTCGAAGATCCCGACGAGCATCCGACAAGCCACAATCACTCTCCAGTCATTGGCAAAGCCCATGCCAAGCATCACTATGCCCCAACTAAAGACCAGACCATTGAGCAGGATCTTCGGGCCGATGGGTCTTAGCGCCAGGGTGGTGGGCAGCTCGAAGAGGAAGTACGTGATGAAGAAGACGAGAAGGGCGATAGAGTAGCGATTTCCGACATCGAAACTGAGATCTTGGTTCATGCCGGCGACACGTGCGTTGGAGAGGTTCACGCGGTCCAGACCGGCGATGGAGTAGAGGATGCCCAGGATGGGAATCAGCCGCCAGTCGACCTTGCGTCTGCGCCTTCTCAGCTAGGACCATGGCGATAATCGTCATTGAGAATCTTACCGGACGCGAGCTTCAGCCGTTCTCTGCTCCAGCGAGATGTCACTCTCAACGAAAACATGCTTGCGATCTTTCTCGTCCACCACCACATCCGCCTCGTCAACATATGGCTTCTCCAGCGATGCCATGTCGATCAACTTTAGCCAACATGGACCGAGTCGAGCCCTGATCCCGAACCCAGGGGCCCGGCTCTGAGGGGCCTACTTATTCTCGACCCGATCTGCCGGGTAAATGTACACATGGCATCGTTGCAGCAGGATCTAGGGTACGGGCAACGTCAACCGAGCCGTCGTCTAGCAAGATCCGCTCCGCGCCCCAACGTCTCGTCGAGGCGTCTCATTGGATACCATAAAGAACCAGGAGGGCTATCGAACCCCAAACCCCGGATTCTGCAAAGACGGAGGGCAGAACTGTCGCGGGGAAGTGGGCCGGGTGCCAAAAGGGAGCCAAGGGACGTGGATGTTGCTGTGCGGCTCACCGGATAAGGTTTTCAGATGGAGCTCCAAATTCCCCTGTAACGCCGACCGGCTTGGCGTGGCCTATGTTTTTTTCTCCGGTAGGATGACGACGTTGGTTGACTAATTTGCAGATAGGAATTGGCATTCAGACGATTTCCGCGGTTCCGAGCGTGGTTTGAGATACGGATTCACCCCGCCGCTGATAATCGCTGACCGCTGATAATTTCGCGGGTCACAGACAATGGCAAAAGAAACACCACGTTGATTGAACGTATCGAATGAAATCACTAAGCTGATGAGAGATGAACTGCTGCATATGCGAGGCATCTTCACAATCACCTGCATGGCTGTTTCAGCCGTCAGTCGCCTGACTGACATGCTCACTCACCTCACTCCTGCCCCTCCTTCGGCTTCGGGATGACGGGAGGTGTGGTTTCGCCGAAAGCTGATGTGAGACGGCGCGTGAGCGAGAGTGTGGGAAAACACTGTGGAGGGATCCATCTTCGTTGATCGGAGCCGAGAGCGGAGATGACACTTCCGACGACCCACTTTACCCGGGAAGCCTTGTGCGATGGATGCACCTTCCATCCAGAACCAGATTAGGAACGGCTGGCCAAAGCTCGGACCACCGACGTCGATATGGCTTATCGCTTCTGGTTTTTTTTTTCCCTTTTTTTTTTTCCCTCTGTCACTGTGCAGCTTGCCAGGTTCATCCTTCCATGCACATCAGACTCAGCGACTCATCATCGGCCGAACACTATCAATTGAACGGTCACGGCGCACGCACTGTGACTGCACCTCCCCAGACGAATGACCTGCTTGCTTCTCAACTCTCAACCACAACTGCCGCCGGCGTGGCTTGCCAAGACGATGGGAGCAAGAGGGAACCTTCACAAGCGTGTTTGCCCGCTGCAGGCAGCCTTCCCGCGGGCAGCGCCCCGCCGAAAGAGAAGAGAGAAGTCTCGGATGGAGCCCGAATTGCCAGAAGCAAGCGCCGTCCTGCTCCGGAAATAAATTGCGACCACACAGTTTGTGGTCGAGACACTGGACAGGGACGCCTGGTGGCCGCCGTGACAGGTTCCACATCCCATGCGGAGGGCCCAATCCGCAAAACTTTCAATGTGGTATCCCTCGATATGCTTTCACGTCATTAGACGATTGACGGCCGGATGCTTCTTTTTCATAAGGGAGGAACAGCATCTTCCAACGTCGTCCGCCAGCGCACAACCATGTCCTCAGCACTTGCGATGCAGCTCCCTCGCCGGAGTGTTGCTAGCTGCCCTGCTGTTGGAGCCGGCCCAGGTCATGACTCTTGTGTTCCCGGCTTGGCCTGGGCCTGCCCGCTTGCCGCTTATTCCCACGGGGAGACTTGGCCACGACTGGAGAAGGGAGGTGGGGTCCAAAAGCGGACCTCGGCTGAGTATCCACTCCTCCTATTCATCTCGAGGAAAAGATTGGCTCTTCTGATAACGAACCGGAATTTGTCACTTTGCCGTCTCGTTTCACAGCAGCAATCACCCAAATGGAGAGAGAGGCAGTCATGATGCGGAAAAGGGCGTCGAATACCTACCTGAACAGGCGCTTTGGCTGCATGGACCTGGATGTCTCGGTTCATTCTTCTCGACGACGCGCCATTACATTCCCTGATATCGGATAATGAAGGTATCATCCATATACCGCACGAATACTATGTATAGGTCACAAATCGGGCCCTCAACATGGTTCTGCTTCGGCCGGCCTTCCAACACCGGCTATCTTGGCCCCAATCGACCGACACGACCCCTAGTCCCCGCCGTTTATTCCCAAGGGGACGCACACAGAAACAGTCCAAAGTCCCATCGACAGGCCGCAGAAAGGGCGGGATCGCCCACGTCTTTTTTCCAGAATGCCCACCCACGCCTCCGATTGCGTGCCTTGATTACCCACATCGCGCCCCATCACACCCTTCGCCCCGGTGGATCGGATGCGGGCTGCCCACCACCACCCACCATCCATCTGCACTCCTGCAAAGTCCTGCACCCCTTGGGCTCCACGGAGAGGGGCCGTCTACCTTGTCTGTCTGACCAGCAACAAACGTTTGACGGGCCGCTTTGCCCAAATTTTTGTTGGTTCTGTTCAATCTTCTTCCTTCCCTCGTCTCTCGTTTTCTCGCGGCCGGGGAATGCATACTTCTTACCAAAAGGTCACTCATTGTTGACTCATCGCTCTTCTTCAGTTCCCCATTGTAATTCACGCGCTCGTTCCGCGGTCAGTCGCAGATAAAAGCGCATCATTGGCCATTCCAGTCAAGTGTTGTAAGCTGGTTGCGACGTTCAAAACTCGTCTCCCGAGGCCCGGCGCCGCCTCCGTCATCCGTTCTCGTCACATCCAACGTCGGGCAGCACGAGCGCGTCGCATTCGGCTCATCTCATGAGAGCAACACATTGAGCTTGAGAAACCTCGCCTACCAAGTCAGCAGCTACATCCGGGCCGCGCCGTAAAGTTCCACTGCACACAATGTCCGCCCCCGATCCGGAAAAGGGGTCCCACGCGGCCGAGACCGCGACAACGACCAGCTCCGGCCAAGACTCGCCGCAGCTCCGCCCTCTCAAGACCGTCCAGTCTCGGCACAGCCGCCGGAGCCGCGCCCTGTCTACCTCCTCCACCGACACCGACCCCCTCGAGCCGCTCTCCCACGCCCTAACCCCGGATCTCGAGACCGAGATCGAGCACGCCGCCCGGGAGCCCATCACCTACACCCGCACCGGCACCAGCATCGGCAGCACCGCCTCGCGCCCGCCCGACTTCGAGGTCACCTTCGAGCCCGGCGACCCCGAAAACCCCAAGAACTGGCCGCTGTGGTACCGTGCCTGGACCATCTTCGTCGTGTCCTTCTCCACCTGGGTCATTGTCCTCTACAGCACAAGTTACACGGCGTCTATCCCGGGTCTTGTTATCGAGTATGAGTCGTCTCAGGTCATCGCGACACTGGGTGTCACGACCTACCTCCTCGGTCTCGCCGCCGGCAGTCTCATCGTCGCCCCGATGAGTGAGCTGTACGGCCGACAATACGTCTACGTCGTCTGCTTCATCATCTCGGCGCTGCTCATCATCCCGTGCGGTCTGGCCAAGTCCCTGACGACACTCATCGTCGTCCGCTTCTTTGGGTATGTCCATCCCCCTTTCCAGCACTCTTTACTCTGATGACATCTAACATGATATGACAGCGCCCTCTTTGGTGCCGCTCTCATCGCCAACAGCCCGGGCACCGTCGTCGACATCGCCGACGAGGAGTACCGCGCCCTCGCCATGTCCTTCTACAGCATCGCGCCCCTGAACGGCCCCGTCACCGGGCCCCTCATCGGCGGCTTCGTCTTCCAGTACCTCGGCTGGCGCTGGACCAACTGGGTCGTCCTCATCATCGCCGGCTTCGCCATCTGCCTCATGTTTACTCTCAAGGAGACCTACGCCCCGACCATCCTCCAGCGCAAGGCCGCCCGCATCCGCAAGGAGACCGACGACCCGCGCTGGTGGTGCCGCTACGACGAGAAGGTCTCCAAGCTGCACCTCATCAAGCTCAACCTCAGCCGCCCCTTTGTCCTCAGCTTCACCGAGCCCATCCTGTGGTTCTTCAACATCTGGTAAAACCCACCAACCCAGGTACTCACACCTAGCAATGCTAACTCTTCTACCCAAGGATCTCCCTCATCTACGGCATCCTATACCTCTGCTTCGTCGCCTACCCGATCGTCTTCTCCCAGCACCGCGGCTGGGGCCCCGGCACCTCGGGCCTCGCCTTCCTCGGCATCGGCGTCGGCACCATCGCCGCGATCCTCAGCGAGCCCCTCTTCCGGCGCATCATCAACGCGCACCCCAAGGACCCCGTCACCGGCCGCGTCCCGCCCGAGGCCACCGCGCGCGTCATGACCATCGGCGCCATCCTCACCCCCATCGGCCAGCTCGTCTTCTCCTGGACCTGCCTGCCCAAGACGATCCACTGGGCCGTCCCCATCGCCTTCGGCATCCCCTTCGGCGCCGGCAACACCATCTCCTTCATCTACGGCAGCAACTACCTCGCCGGCGCGTACGGCATCTACGCCGCCAGCGCGCTCGCCGGCAACGCCGTCATGCGCAGCATGTTCGGCGGCACGCTCCCCCTCGCGGGCCCGAGCATGTACCGCGCGCTGACGCCGCAGTGGGCTGGCACGCTGTGCGGCCTGCTCGAGCTCGCGCTGATTCCGATCCCGATTATTTTCTGGCGCTACGGCGAGCGGATCCGCGCAAAGAGTCCGGTGATCAAGCAGATGCGCGAGGACCAGGAGAAGAACGAGAGTAAGCGGGCCAAGGCGCTGGCGAGGCTTGCGCGGAAGAAGGAGAGGGAGGCGGCGGAGGCGGCTGATGGGGAGAAGACGACTGGTGTGTTGGAGGAGCAGACACAGGCGAGAGACTTTGAGCAGGAGACTGGTAGTGGGAAGGCTTAAGAGCAGAAGGATAAAGGGGGAGGTGTGTCATGATGGGACGAGTATGTGTGACTATCATGAGAGGGAAAAGCGCGGCATTTATTGGCGTTTGGACTGCATGGAGACCTACGGGCTCACGATATATATAGACTTGGAGGATCCAGCGGTTGCACGTAGAGCCACCATCTAAAAGTAATACCATTTCCGTACACTAATACCAGTCATATGGCTTGGACAGCCTGAACCACCGCGCACAGAGAAGAGAACCCATTCCCAACTGGCCTTGAGCTTTCCCAAGCGAGTCCATCTTGCGTCTTTACGATGACCGGCCCACGTGCCCCGGTCCCGTCGTGTACAGCACGCACCCAGCAATCCTCATTCCGCCCACAGCCGCTTGCCTCGGAGTTTTGCCTGTGACAAGTCAGTCCGCGCCCTTTTACGAGCCTCCCAAGGGTCCAACTTACACCGGTCCCGATTTCCAGCCAACAGCTCCACACACCAGCTCTGCCCCTTGACCAGTATCCCATCGCCCATCGGATCCTCCGGGTCTTGCGCCTTTACATCGCGGTGCGGGCACGGATGCAGGAACTCCAGCTGGAAATGCTGCTCGCTGTAAACGCCGAGGCCGTTTCCACGTAGTACCTGTTTGGGACGCATCACGGGCACGAGCTCGGCGGCGCGGGCGCAGAAGCGCTTTGCGTCCTCGCGGAGGTCGGTCGCGTTGACGGGGGGAGCGGACGGGAAGTTGGAGCGGGGATGGCAGGCTTGCGGGCTGAGCCAGGCTGGGGGGTTTGTGTTGGCGATGTGTTCGATGAGGGGGTCCGGGGTGGCGAGGATGGCGAGGCGGGCGGTTGTGAGGGATGCGAGGAGGAGGGTGAGGGACAGGTGGAGTGCCGGGGCCGTGGTTGGGAATGAGATGTGAGAGGAAGACGGCGATGGTACTCCTGAATTGAAGACTGTGGTTGCGGACTGTGAAGGCGAGTTCTGACTTTATGAAAGATGAATCACGCATTTTGGGTGTGGTTTACTTGGTGGACGTGTAGCATATGCTCGTAAAAGCGGATCGCTGAAATCGTCCTTCGATGGACAAAGGAAGTGGTCGGGATTACTGTCCGGCCCTGGTTCATCGTCCATCAGACCCAGCCCGTACAACCTGCGACGCCCCCGAAGAACGTAGGGGTACATTCGTGTAAAACCTTTCTGCGTATTACACTGATCAAGACAAATAACGAACTCCGAGTCTGCGCAGGTGATCCCATTGATCTAAAGTCTGAACACCAACACCGGTTCCATGCTGCACAGTTTGAAACAGATAGGCCCAGAAGGCAAACATTTTAGTGCAGAAAACAAGAACACCATAACCAGTGCCAAAAACGCCGCCGTATCTATACCATCCACGCCGTTCACGTGCCTACATATACCGCCAGTACCAAACAGCCCTCCAAAACACAACCGACATAACCAAGAACGTGGCTGGCGGAATCGCAGTCATGGCAACCGCATCAGCGAAGTATGCCCCATACCACACGCCGCCCGCGGCATGCTTCACGTTATCCACACTCAAAATCTCGACGCCCTCCGCCCTCAGCTCGGTCCAGATGTAATCGCGGTACTTGAGCGGCCAGTCCGGAATGTCCCAGTACCGCGGCTGCAGGCCGAGGCTCTTCGCTGCCTGGACCTGGCTCCGGAGCTTGTCGCGCTGGGTGCGGCTGAAGCCGAGGCGGACGGAGCCGATGGCTTGTTTGAAGGATGCGCTGGCGTAGAAGGAGTTGGTCGTGTTATACGTTGTTTCGTTGGTGGTGTTGGCTGCGGGGAGGTCGGTTAAAGGTGCGTCGAGGAAGGTGTCGTGGTATTCGTGGTATGTGGTTGTAGCGTCTGTGTGATTAGCGACGAGGGTTGCCATGTCTAGATTTCCGGTGCCGACCACGATCAAAGGTGCGCGCAGATGGTTTGTGGTGTCGCTTGACGCCGAGGAGTTGTGGCTTGTGAGATAATGCTTCTCACGGAGCGGCTCGAGCTGGCGGAGCACGATGGGCCATGTTTCCTTCGCATCGGTCTTGACGTCGATGAGGAGGATGATTTGGGTATTGTCTTGGAGAGAAAAGACGCCGCGTCTTGTCTTGTTCCCCTCTGTGACCTCACGGTTTTGAGCGTCAAGGATTTCTTCCAGCGGGTCGAGATACAGAGACTTCAGAGTCCGGGTTTGGGAAAGCGATGGCTTATCATGACCGACCAAAAGATCGCCGTTTCTCAGCCATACATCAGCCTCAATGCCGATGCACCCTACAGATAACGCTGAAAACAGAGGTACTGGGCGCCAGTAGTCGTTATGAGAGTGACATTGAGCAGGAGTCGCGTGGGACGTGGCGTTGTTGAGCCATGTAGAAACATAGTCTTTCGAGGCATACCCCGAGTCCTCAGGGGTATTGAAGAAGATCTCTTGGAACGGTTGCAAGAATGTTTCTCTGGGTGGTCGAAGGATGAGACAATAGAAAAGAGTACCACTATTATGGGGTCAACATGATCCTGGTGGGAGGGTACGACTGTACAACAGAGGAAGGGGGAACTTACATGATGAGCGCGCAGATACCGTAACAGCCGACTGCCCAAAGTGTGATATATGTGCTCAGTCTAGGCTTTTTTGTCCAGCATGACCGCTTCCGTTGGGAAGTCCCATTGCAGATGAGCCTGTATTCTGAGCGTTGGGGAGCATAAACATTTGGACGAGGCTGATAGGGTTCCCCTATGCGAATATGGGCAAGCTCAACGTCGGAGTTGCGGTATCGTCGGGGACGTAAAAACATGTTTGGTATGGCGATTTGATTTGGAAGTGCTGTAAGAAATCTTGGAAACATCATAGACTTGCATCAGTTAAGTGTCTTGGGGTCGAAATGCTTCCTTTGTGTGTCTGAATCACAGAGAGAGGTGGCCACTTTGCCTGGTGCAACACCAGTGGAGTTGCACCACATGGGCGACCAAGTCATATGTTCTGTGTCTTTTGTTTCTGTCAAGAAGCTGAATTCAAGACAATCGTATCAGACAGCGCCTTGGATGTCTACTGTGTTGGTTGTGCGTGGTTTGTTACCGAATCCCGGCTTTGAAGGTGGCCGGGCTGGACAATGCTATTGATCGAGATCAAAGACAAAGGTTTCTCCAGTGTTCACTGTGAGATGTTCGAGATAAAATTGAGAAGCTGAACTAGGATGCTTTGATGTCGTACTAGCATTGCATAGCCCAAACGGCGTGGTCGAATAACTTGCGTTGACAAGCGATAATCTGCAGGCAGCCGAGGGCACGATCGTTCTTCCCTTACAACATTTTTTTCATACTTTCTAAAAGCAGGTTACCGCGTGCTGGCACACCTTTTCGACTGCCTCATGACTCTGAATGGGAAACATACGAGGGCCTGGATGGCTTAGGCTAGAGAAAGCCAGGGGCCTGATAGAGATTTACATCAACAACCCCATATAAACTATCTAGAACCGGCTCAACCAGGTTACCCGATTTTTGAGGGCTTCAGGCCACTCTAGGTGTTTGTGCTTCGGGATAAACGGTGCAAACGTTGCTCGACTATGCTATGTTCCATTACTATAGCCCTAAGTAATGTTTTACTACGCTGCTATATGTATCCGCAAGATAGATAACATCAAACCATTTCAAATCACCTCACACCTGACTCTTGATGCAACATTGATACTATGAGATGTATGTCAGGCATGAAGCTCCTTCAGACGGCAATCTTAAACGTACATCCGCCCAACACTTCTTTTCGGATCTATGATACGTCCAAAGCCAATCATCTTGCTCAGATAGGTATTGCCCGTTGCCGCATTTAGGCTGGGCATCGAGCACGCAAACTTCCCCAGAAACATGGCCAGGCTGGATGAAGCCAGAGCGGCATGCGGGTCCGCGCGCTTCAATGGTCAAGCCGGACATATCTCCGACGGAGGCCGCAAACGTCGCCGAGGCGTAAACTGTGAGAAAAAGGGTGGCGATGGGACGAAATACCATGTTGACGATGGGTTTGGTTGAGTTTGGTTGCGAAAGGCTGAGTATGTGGAACGCAAGAATGCGGCGAGCCCATACGCGCCTACTTGTACCCGGAAGTCTTTTCAAATGACCTCCTAGCAGGTGGTCAATGGCCCAGAGAGCCGTTAGATCCTCAAGTAGATTAAAAGGTCTTGATGTTTTGGATAGAACAGCAATGAATTAAACTTTGCGTACAGTTCTCAGGCACTCACTACATATCTTAAGGGCGTAGTATGAAGCATGAGAACAGCATGTGGTCTAGGGGCTCCGCGGGCAATGTTAATATATCACAGGAGATTGATCTTTCCCTGACATGGAGTAATGTGAGTCAGTTTTAATCAAACGGTAGTGCAATACGAAAGATGGTACACTCCGCGTAAACGAAAGAGCGACGTATGCGCATAAATCGGAAGGTCAGTCATTTTCAAGGTCTGATTCACTTGACGTCACAGATTTGATGATACAAGCGAGTGTTAAATGCTTCTTAAGGGCCACAAAATACGGCCAGGAAATGATGCAGGTTCAAAAGAAATGCGCCAAGCCTTCAGGGTGAATCGTGAAATAGAGACGGCGAGCTGCCCCCTTATTCTTCTTGGCCACGTATTAGTCTGTTTAAACAAGCCATGTGGTTTCTGATTTCTTCACGTAGCTCAGCATTGCTTTTGAATATTCGACGGAGAGAGAAAGCGCGAGAGGAGATTAGCTCGGTAGTAGTATGGAAAACGTTAAGCACAGCAAATTGAATCTACGACTAGATCTTTCAGATTCCTGAATAGCATTTATGTTATTTCTTTCCTCCGTGAAGGCACTAGTGCCAGACGACAATTTCACTTGCGGCTGAGAATGATGGCTTAGACAAATATGCCATGTGGTTACCCCGAACAAACGGTGCCCGGTGCCGTGACGCGTCAGATGCGCGTATTGTAATGTGGCTTCCCCAGGAGGTGAATACGCCTCAACTCATCATGTCAATATGAATTCTTTAAGGTGCTTTAAGCTAGCATCTCAACATGCTTAGAAGGCCGCGTCGTATACTAATCCAGGGAGAAACCCCAGGGAAGTGAGAAATTAAATCGAAGGCGAGCAAGTTGCGAAATATTAGAGATATCTGCTTCCAAAAGTTGTGTCCGAAAGAGAAAATAACGATGGACTCTGGTCTGTTCATGTCACTGACACAGAATTGGGCTGACCAATGAGTGCGATTGCGGGAGGTGACGCGTACCACCGGACCACACTTCGACTGAGCCACACTCGTGGCTGTGGTATTCCCTTCTGTCTTGAAGATCTCCGCTGCCAACCAGTAACCGTAATAATTAACCATGTCTGAGAATCCCCATAAAATAACAACCTTATTTGAGGTCTTTATTTTCCCCTCTTTGTTTCGAAGTTTCACTTCGTTGTGATCGCCCTGAAGTTCTTAAAACCCGTACTTGGTTTACCGATACAATGCCTGTCTCGAAATCCTTAGAAGCCGGTTACCCGCCGACTACTCCAATGCCGTCTCCCGGAGGAAGCCTCTGGTGCTGCCGGAGGAACCAAATACGCTACTTCGGTCCGGGCTTATTGTGGCGCTAGACCCGAGGCAGATCGGCACCTTTCAGAGAGCGTTGACCGGCACTGTGATTTTACTATCTCCGGTTAAGTTGCCGCCGCTATGTTGCCCTCGTCTCGGCATCCCGGCAGGTTGGATTGATGGTGCAACAACCGCAATGGTGGCGAAGGCCGACCCGTGCATTAGCTCCCGCCTGTGGACTTTTCTTTTCCATATTCTGGCCACGACGGTTTTCTTCCAATTGCGTGTCGCAATTTCCAAAGCTCGAGCTGTGGTTGGGTGACGTTGATGGAACGGGTCAGGTCGGAGGTCCGAGGCTCTGGGCACGTCCGGTGGAATACGTCAGCGTCGAGGGGGAGAGTGAGCGATTGCGAGGTATTGCGAGGTTTCGAGCACGATTACCACTGCTTGCCGTACAACCGTCCATAAACCCGAACGAACTGCTTTCCGGTCTATGAGATGAATGCACTGTTCAGATAATTCCGGACGGATGAGTGGGAGGATCAGGTCGTCTCATTGCGAACCACCAGCACATGGTCACGATGCACCTCAACAATATCGGACCATTATGACTCGCGGAAACTTTCAGCAGTAAGACTGGTTGAACCATAGATCCTTTGAAGTCGAGCGAACTGATGCCTGGTTTCAACATGGCCAGTCCTAGTGCCGGGGAAGTAAGCATACACCAGCTTGCCAGCTGAAAGATCCCGATCTTTATTTTCAGCAGTGATCGCCGCCGATCACAACAATAACGTGCCTGATAAGCTACTATAGTAAACGAGAAACTGTTCTCCCCGCCAATAGAGCGGTTGTACCGTTGAAGGTAGATGCAATTTGAGATGACAGCCCACGTACCAACGACTGCACCCCTGCATGGCGCTATGAACAGCTCGGCGATCTCTACCATTGACGCAAGACCCAAATATGGCAAGAAGCGCTGGACCTAAGAAAGTTTGAGGCGGTTTCTCCTAGGTCCGGCACCTGCAGGAGCAGGGGTACTGGATTGGGGTTTGAAAGCAGGAGAAACTTATCGGATAGAGACGCTGACAACGCCACACAGGATGGCTATTCGGGCAAGTGCATTGCCCGCAGCCCGACTACAACCTGACACATGCGCTAATATTCGCACGTTCAGAGGATCTCATCTGCCAGAATACTGTTCTGCGGGTTGTGGCTGGCGGGCCCTCGGACTGAAAGATCACGGCCGTGCTACATGATGTCTTACAGACCAACGACTGAGAATGTTCTTGTCGGGACCGAGCTCAACGTGATGTGGTGGCAAGCCGGAAATGTGTCGAATATTCCCCTCGACCATTGCTGAGTTCTTCGAGGTATATCTACTGGAGGTCCTCGCCTCTGCCAAGGCTTCTGTTTCCTCATCAAGCAACACCAAGTCACTCGCTGGATACAGTCACTTACTTTCGTTTTTCTCTCGTTTCTTTTCAGAGCCGTCAGTTCTAATATTCATCATGCATCACGCAGCTATGCTCCTGGCCGCCTTTGCGGCCACCTCTTCCGCTTACCCCGGCTGGTCTGCCCCGGGCTTCATGGATGAGCTCTATGCTAGAGCTGGTTCCATCAGCGACCAACCCTTGGGCGATCTTGCGACCCTCCCCGACTCATCTCTTAGCCAGACGGGCAAGGATATCAAGAATATCCTCACTACCTCCGCCTCTGGACAGTCGACCGATCAGTACCAGGGCGCCGTTCCTGCGCTCGGCAGCAAGGAATGTGCCGCCGACAAGTGCTGCGTCTGGAAGCACATTGGAGACGAGCTCGCCACCAAGTTCGCAGACGGAAGTGGATGTACCCAACCCGCCCGCGCCGCCGTTCGCCTCGGCTTCCACGATGCCTCCGGCTGGAGTATTGTCACCGGTCCTGGCGGTGGTGCTGACGGCTCCATTGTTCTCGCCCCTGCTGAGATCAAGCGCGCCCTCAACGACGGTCTCCAGGATGCGGTCACCCAGACCCAGACTTGGTTCAACAAGTACAAGCAGTACGGTATTGGCATGGCGGACCTGATCCAGTTCGCCGCCAACAGCGGCACCGTCATGTGCCCCAAGGGGCCCAGGGTCAAGACCCTGATCGGCCGCAAGGATTCTTCCACGGCTTGCCCCGACGGTCTGCTGCCGGACGTCAACGACCCGGTCGACAAGCTCATTGCAATCTTCGCAAACAAGACCATCTCTCCGCCCGGTCTTGCAGCCCTCGTCGGCGCCCACACCGCTTCCACCCAGAAGACCGTTGACCCGGCCCGCGCGGGTGCTCCTCAGGATACCACCCCTGCCGTCTGGGATACCCTCTTCTACTCGCAGACTTTGGCCGGTGCCCCCTCCAACGTCTTCACCTTCAACAGCGACAAGGTCCTCTCCCAGGACTCTCGCAGTGGACCGGCTTTCAAGGCTTTCGCTGACAGCCAGCCTGCCTGGAACGTGGTATGTTTTTATCTTCAGACATCATCTCAATAATGTGACATGAGTTCTAACATTTGGTAGGCGTTTTCAAGAGAGTACTTGCGTCTTAGTCTCCTCGGTGTTGACAACATCAACGAACTTACCGACTGCACCAAGTCTCTTCCTGTCCCCAAGTAAGGGAACAGCTAATAGGCTCTGACGATATGGCTGAATGACATGAATAAATAGATGGTTGGAGTTATGTTGAATTTTGGATTTGACAGGACTAGTAATTAATTCTCTAAAACTTTGATAGTTCAAGAAACAAATATTTCAACTCAGAATTCTTGAGCTCTGGCACAATGTGTCCGTGGTGAAACTCGTGGGTTGTGGGAAGCCCTCCAGACATCTGAACACGCTGCAGCGCGCCCCGCGCATCGGATCTTCGGCGTGCATGCGACCAGTGCGCATTGTGTAAGCTCCATGTGCGTTGTGTTGTGCATTTCAAACATACTCGGAGCTGTATGCGTCTGATGTTACTTCCTCCTGCAATCAGTCTGATCGGTCATCACCACGTCGTGTACGTCACCTTGCTTCTTGCTTTAAAAAGGCAGAAAGTGATTCATGACTAACTAACTGACCTGCAGTTGAGCGAAGCCCTTATGTCAACGTCGTCCAGAACATAGACGTGTCACTTTGTTGCAAGTTGCGTCGGGGACAAAAGTCATGTGGCTGATCGAAGATGTGGTATAATTAAGATCAGTCCAATGGGTGAAACTCTCAAATGAGGTCAAGATCGCTCGAGCACAAGACGCTATGAACAGTCTACACTAAATTCTGCTACCGTACTCTCTAGACCATAGCCCTGACGCCAGCCTGGATGGCCTTGAGGAGGCTGAAGTCGTAAGAGTCCTCGCCCAAGCTCCAAGCAGCAACACCACCGAGGCCGCGCGCCTTGACGATGTCGTTGAACTTGCGGGTGACAAGAGCAGGGGTGTCCCAAGTCCAGAAGAACGGTCCGGCGGGGTCCCAGTACCACTGGCCGCCGTTGACCTCGTCGGTGTAGCCGTTGGCCATGGCGGTCTTGAAAGAGCTGAGGGTGGAGGTGCCGTTGCAGATACCGTAGTCGGACTGGCAGCCGTTACCGCAGTGGGCAGCAGTAGTACCGCTGGAGTGATGTTAGTTGAGATTCCTCCCATGAATATAGGTGATTAGACTTACCAGAAGCCGTACTGGCTGCAGCAGCTTCCGGTGGGACACTTGAAGAAGGTACCGGCGCCGCAAGAAGAGTCGGTAGACGTGGTCAGGTTGGTGGGAGCCTCCTGGAAGTTGGCAGTCTCGAAGGTGACAGCACCAGAGTTGCCGGTGTCAGTTCCGTCAGCGGCCTCGAGCAGGACGGTAGGGCAGCCGATGGGAGAAGTGCAGTTGGCACCAGTGGCGGTGGTGAACCACTTGGCGTACAGGGCGAAACCAAGGTTGACCTTGGCAGCGTCAATGCCAAGAGAGATGTAGGTGTCGACGGACTCAAGAGAGCCCTTGACATCGGTGTGGTGGCGGGTAGTGTTGTCACGGCGGTTCATCAAGTCGTAGGTCATGACCTGATGTTGTTAGCATGAAACTTCCCTCAAGTCGTGCTGGTTACTCACGGTGAAGTGGTCGACAGCAGCGTTGATCTTAGGGATGGTCTTGGCGGTGAAAGCAATCATGTCGCGCTTGAGACCGGGGGCAGTTACGGAGAGCTCCATCTTGTGGTGCTTGAGCTGAGTCTTGATGGCAGACAGGAGCAGGGGGAAGGTGTTGATCTCAGCCGTCTTGTTGCCATTGGGCTTCTGCTTGTAATCGGCGCCGTTGCCACCGGGGTACTCCCAGTCGACATCTGTGTTAATTGTTAGTTATGTTCAACTAGACGTCTACGAAAGAAAAAAACAGCCAACTCACCAACACAGTCGTATCCAAGGTTGAGGGCAGCAGCGGCAACATTCTTGGCGTACTTGTTGCGGCTCTCGTTCGTAGAGGCGCCCAGGCTGAAGCCATCGGTATCACCCCAGCCACCGATAGCCATGCACACCTTGGTGCCGTTGTCGAAGAGAGGGCGGATATCGGTCAGGTTCTTGAAGGGCTTGTACTCGCCGGCGGGCTCGGAGGCGAAAAGAGAAGAGTTGGCGAAAGCAGTGATGACGTGGGTGATGCCAGACGTGACAGACTTGTCGGGAATGCCGGAGGTGTGGTACCTTTGAGGGCTTGTTAGCACATTATTCTTACAGCTGGACGTATTGATGGTGAGCCTTACTGGTCGTAGTACATGACATAACGAGGAGAGCTCGTGGCGCTGGCGCAAGCAGCGTCAGCGGCCAGAGCGGCCAAAGAGGCCAGGCCAACGGACTTGAACAACATTATTAGAGTGAGATTATGTATCAAAAGAATGTGGTAGCTCAAACAGAGATTGAGACGGTCTGATTAGTATAGTGAACGAATGACAGAGATGCGTTGAAGACGCTGAGGACTAAGATCGATCCAACGGGACGGGAGCGGGATGGTCGCATCTTAAGGCTGCCCCAACCTCAATAACAGAGTGCCTATTCTTGTCTTGACGATGTGATGGCACCCGGCGGCGGGGCCGCGTGAGTTTCGCCCCCCTTGCCCACAATCCGGCACCTTGGGAACGGATTGAAGTTGGGTTGCCCGTCAGCCCATCGCAATCACTGGGAATCGCCAAGGAGATTGGCCGGAGAGCCAAGCAGTGGATCGTTGGGGTTAGACACGCGGCAGTGCGGCACGAGGCTTTGCCAAGTCAGCGGCCAAGGCGAAGATCGCATCATTCAATGTCTGCAGCTGGTGAGTTGAGCATGGCCGCTGAGTGTGGGGATTCAATATAGAGAAAAAGTATAAAATGGTGTTTCCCCTAAGTCGGAAATTGCTGTAGGCTCGGTTTGCGTTGCGGTTGGCTGACTCGCCAGGATGAACCTTTCCTAAATAACGCTGACTGAATCATGTCTAGGGAACCATTACGCAGCGAAGCCAAGATGATTTTCCAAACAAAAAGCTTGACCTGTCAAGCACGAGCCCTCCCGGTGCTTCCGTCTCAGGTAGACGGGTTGATTGATCGATTTCGTTTGGCTCAGTCGTAAGGAGATCACCCGCTCATTTGCAATGCAAGCGATAGGTTTTGCCATTTTCCATAGGTATTTCAGGGGCTTTTATAACTTCAACTTCCCCTCTGAGCTCCATTCGGAACGCTCCATAGAACGACATTAGTTCATCAGAAGCCTTGTTACGAGCCCTTGCGAGGTATTCGGTCTCGGTTGCCCACGATAATAGTCATCCATATGCGAAACTTACACGTCTGCGCCCATGATGGCGGGGCCTAAGATGACGTTCATCGAGAGAAAGATTGAAAGACCTTCGCAGCCCGCAACCTTCGTCAATGTCCTGCGCTGTGTTGCCATACCACATTTACATGTTTCCTGTACACCAGCACGCCAACGAATCAGGAATAATCGTAAGAAGCATCGGGCCACACAATGCAAGCCACGGTTGATTCCAATGTTGGAGACTCTGCAGACATCCTCATGGGACAATTGGCTATCCATAAGTCTCGGCCGATTACCATGACTCTCTATGGACTGCCATGGCTGGCTATCGTGATGACAATGTGCGAAGACCCGCTGAACTTCCATACTCGCTGTAGACCTGGCCAATGGCGTGCTTTGGGCAATGATTCAGCGCCAAAGTTTTAGGTCAGTCGGGTATGCATGAATCTAACCACTCGTACCTGAAGGGCGGTTGCTCGTTGGAGGCAGGCTCAACAGCTGATGCGTTTGAACGCATTCAAAGGAACAGTAATCAATGATAGTAGTAGCTGGTCCGAGTCGAAACTGAAGAGAGCTTTCGCCCTGAATTGCACATAAGTAAGTATATCTCATGATATCGTGTGCCAATCTTCCATATCTTAATATTTGTACTGCATTGTGAGTCCATGGGTGGCGGCATTTTTGTGGACGAGGCGCTGCGCGGTGTTTTCGCTTTCACTCTGAAGGATCCATGCAGACCAACGTTGGGTTTGTTTGATAATCTTCTAGAAGCGCCTAACGTCGAAAATCGTAGCCACATTCGAAGCAAAGCGTCCGAGAATGCTGGTAATACCAAAATCTTTTGGATTATCACATTTGACATATCGATGTGATCAGCGTATTCTATTATTGCCGAATCCTACTATGGCTTGTCTATATTTCATTTGTCTTTATCTTTGAAACGAGAAGCAAGAAGAAGACTATTTGCTGTTCATTATGTGCCATATTCACGCTAACATGAGCAAGACATTTAATCCGTCGGGCTCGACCATTTCACTTTTTATCTGCCCAGAAGCTTATCGCTTTGCATGCCCATAGCCTGAGCTTTGAGTAGAATGGATTCTGGTGATAGTACATATATGTGCTACCTGTGTGACTCCAGGGAGCTTTGCGTCCCGTCCAGTTTGGACTCTTGTTACAAAACTTTGCAAGCGAACTTTGCCACAAATTTGAAAAGCTTTTCGGAGGGATTCAATTCGGTCTGAAAAAAGCAGCAACATTGATTTGGAACAATCACATCGCCTGCGGTCACACTGACTGAAGGGCAACAGGTGATCCTTACCTCACTCTGCGGCAATCGACGCGGACAAGCCAAAGATCTCGAGCAGCCTACGCAATCAAAGGATTCAGGCATCCCATTCCGTAACGAAGAAATAATGAAGACATCGTCGAAGCAGGTCTTTATTTACGGGCCCACCTGTGCTCAACCTCTGCTGGCCTGGGTTTTGACTGGCGATGCAACTCGTGTCGACGAAATTGCGCAGCTCATCCAACCAGCTAGAGTCGAATGCCTCGCCCTCCAAAGATTGAATAACTGCGACTGTCCTGCGCCCGCCAAGAAACACGGCGCACCGATTCATGGCTATGTTATACAGTTAATGACGGAGTCATAGAGAAGAGAGTTTCGACGATGAGACTTACCGAGTCGAAGATGTTCAAGCCATTTTGACTACGTCCGATGAAAAAGAAGAAGTGGTGGGCGCGCAAATTCACCTGCACTATGGCCACAAAGGTTCACATTTTGAGGAGCTGTGGAACTTGGAATGGTTCATTGAAGAGAGGCTGGAAAATTGGATTGCGGTCCTCGAAGGAGAAGATGCCGATGGTCGGAGGTTGTGAGGATTGAAT